TGGCGAATGTTTTTCATGGGTTAGCAAGGAATTTTGGCCTGTGCGCATGAGTACATACAGTAACTAAGATTCTGCACTTAAAAGATCCAGGAAATGAATTTTTCTTCGAGTCACTTTTTGTGTATCTCTTCTTCCATGTGTGAAGACTGTTTGACATCTTTGAGTTATGTGAACTGAACGGTGCACTTTTTCAAACATTAAAAATTAACCAAGCATTTCTGGACAAGTGAGGGCGCTTTTGCTTTGATGTAAATCCAGGAAGACGTGGCTCAGGTTGCATGTTTTCATATTCAAATTGTGAACCCCATTTTTGTTATCTGGGATCATTTCTGTGAAAAGGATTTTTGCTGGATTATTGCCATATACTTACACAGCAATAATTTGCCAAAGAAAATGAAATCTGCCATAGCAGTGGTTAAAAAAAATCTAGAAATTTGTGTAACATTGAGATTCGGTGCATTGGATGACACCATAGTTCTCATGAATATGCAAATTGCATTAGCATAAAAACCAAAAAAGCATCAAAATATGGGTTAAAATTGAAAAACAAAAATTTAAAATTAGGTTAATTGATACCCAAAGATGCAATTTCAAGGGTTTAAGTAATATTTTTAAAAACATTTCTATTTCCTGGTTCCTTTAAAAGGTTAGCGCAGAATGTTTATGCTAGCATGGTTAGCGCAGAATGGAGATCGTAAGCACGGAATAAGCCACTTGCGAGTTAAAATTTGAATAAAATCTGGTACCCTGTGTTATCTAATTGCATAGAAATGTAACAACTCGAATTCCCCAGACTAAAGGCACTGTTGCTATACCTCGTGATTCGAGGCAAGCTTTTGCATAGCGACCACCATCTCTGGAATAGACTGGTTCCTTTGTGCCGTTCTTATCCATTAAAAACAGTGTATTGTTGCAAGGCGTCTTTTATGTAACTAAGGAAAAGCTTGCCTTGAATCACGAGGTAAGCAACAGTGGCTTTAGTATGGAGAATTCCGATTATGTTCACGTGAATTTAAAGAACTCAGTGTGCCAGATTTTATTCAAATTTAACTCACAAAAGGCTTATTCCGTGGTAAGCAGCGCCATGAAATTGGGCCCAGATTGAATGCTTCCATGCTTGAACCGTCACTTTTCCATTCAGTTGAATATTTGTTGATTTGGGTCAGACAAGCATGTGCAGTATGATGATTGTTTGCTGTACCCACCGTTGCATGGGATTTGAGTCAGCCACCCAATCCCAGTAATACTTAGTGGTTAAGATGTTTAAGCACAAAGTTGTGGGTTCGAATCCCTCCTGAGCCAGCCTGTCAATTGTTTCACAACTCACAGTGACAATATAGCATGAATATATACAATGGTGTAAGGGTAAAACCTAGGATAAAATGTGAAGTACGACAGTTTAATATATTTATGCTCAAACTGACTGATTTAAATCATTAGTGTAACTTCCTATTTTCTTGGAATAATGTCAGTTGCAAGCATTAATTAATCCAGGCATCAGAAGTCATGATAGTTTGCAATTGGACAAATGGGAATTTTTCTTTGAGGTCAGAAGTATATTTTTCCATTCTTGAATGGTTTGCTTATTTTTTTACTTTGGGAACTTAATCCCATCTACTCTGTTTTCATGAAGAGTTTGTACCTTATTACATTGCAAGTCTGAATTTGCTCATTAGTGACATCTGTCAATATTACAAAAGCTTGCTTTGCTTCGGAGACTTTCCAGAGTTTAATCTTGTGGGGACCTTGGTTTATGTAAATAATGTGATAAATCAGAATGTTACACAAGTCAATATCATGGTGCTTTCTGTGACGGAAAGAGGGCACCTCATTGTTTTGCAACCAACCTTGGGCTTAAAGCACGGATATGGCATAAAGTGAGTGCACATACTGAAACTTTTCTAATTTGGGATGTTTTATAACTCTTTTGCCCTATGACCCAGGTGGATTTATAACACTGCAACTCAGTGTTGGCTTAGGGCTTGTGACAAAATTCAACCTCACACGTCTGGCTTATTAGTGCAGATGTCTCAAAACTAGTGCAGGGTCGTCTGACTGGTTCAAGTCAGATAAGCGATGGATAAGCCCTCTGTCAATATTGAGTACCATATTACACTGTTTGTACATCTTGCTGAAGGGCAAAATGCCCAGTGTAACAATGTTTCCCGATACAAAAATGACATTTACATTGGGCAGTTCACGTGTGATAAACTTTAGGACATTAGCAGCTAACGATTGCAGAATTGGATGACAATCAATTCACTTTATGCACAACCCTATGGGAAAAGTGTAGTTGAAAAACATTTCATCAGTTTCCATCTTATTAAATATTCAAAGTCAAGTAGCTCTCTTTTTGACTAGTGATGCGATGAAGATTTGGACTAATGTTATGTACAAAAATCAAATTTGAAAGTAAAATCAAAATTTAGGGGATTCCTTCCATGAACACCAGTTTCTGTCATTAGCCATGACCATGAATGTCAGTGAGTTAGAATTGGCCAATTAGAATCAATATTTGAGGCTCATGTTTGTTTTGCAGCCTATAATGACTGGTGCTCTTTTTAAAAAGACATTTCAGGGAGAAGTTTGCTTCTTATCAGCTTTTGAAAAAATATTTCTGACTTTAAAATTCTGACTTGGTGTGAATGCATCTACGGCTTGTCTTGATGAGCCAGTACTTCTGAAATATTTTGAAGGAAAATGCTTCTTCATGCTTGACTCGTTTACCCCCCCCCCACAGGTTTGTGCATGAAATGCATGTCTTGCTTGTCATCCATTCCCATGATGCAGTCACAATGTCATCAAAGTTTACTGTCCTTAAGTGTTGGCCCAGCCTCTGTGTCAGCATTGAGGGGCCACTAGTGTTTGGATGCTACCAGACATCTTCTTTCTTGGACCATGGAAGTGGTTTTTAGATATCACATCACTGTAACAGCACAGGGTCAGTGGTCACTGAAATGCAGTATGTGAAGAGGGCATTGCAAGACACCCTGTTAGTTAAACTTTAGAAGGTTTTCTTTTGTGTGCCTGTTTTTTTTTCCTCAGAAAGTTGGCCTTATAAATGAATGATATTTATCTTTGCAGAACCGCTCCACTGTTGAATCCATCATTCATGCACACAAGCCCATACATGAAAGGTGAGCCATTTATCAGTTTAATCAAAACCAGAAATCAAAATTAAGTTCGTGTCACTGCTCACTGGTCATAGCTGAAGTGATCATTTCAGAATCGCCAATAAGGTGAACAGCTCACCAAAATCTAAACTCACTGTAACATTTACAGCTGCTCCGAGAGAACGTGTCATGAGAGATGAATGTATGCACGGTAATAAAAAACAGCCGGTTTCACAGATAAGCTAGATGGAAAATCTTACTCAGCACTTTGTATGCCTTACAAAACTCAGCTGTGGGTGAAGTCATAAGAGACATCGGCAGCATGACATTGCGGCAAGTAATCTGTTTGTGACAATCAACCATTTGCACTCGGCAGATTTTGCTCTTTAAACGTCTTTGTCAATTTGGCTACTGATCACTCAGTATTCAGATTTTCAACATTAGAAAGTCTGAGATCCCTTGCCAGACTGGCAGTTGTGTGCCAACCGAATGTATTGGGAGTCAGGCATGTGACTCAACAAGAGGGAATGGGCCAGGCCAGTTTTTGAACAGTGCATGCACAAACATGAGGTGGATATCATTCAAGCACTGCAGTATGTGCATACAAGGTCAGCTCTATCAGAGCAGCTGTATGCTAATTCACACCCTGAACATCTCCGAGCTTAGCTCATGAATAGCCTTGCCGTTGGGAAACACATCAACATCACAATGTTAAAACTGCACAGCCATTAGTGCCCATTTCCTAGCACTGTTAGAACACAATTTTTATCCTAGTGGGAACTTTGTGCCACAAGCAATTAGCAGAGTAAATGAGCATTTAACTTTAGAGGGGGAGTTTGTAGAAACAACTCAACAACAGGAGAGAGCACACATATGGAGGCTGTGAAATAGGATTGAAATCAACTGCCTTTTTTTTGCTGCAGCCAGCAAAACTTCAAAATTGATTTTAATTTATCTACTTTGTTTAACATGTTCTCAGAAATATCTCAGCTATGCTTTGCTGTACTCAGTTGTGATCATTATTATCTTGATTCCCTGTCCCACCAAGGCCAGCAGTGATACCTCGGTCTGCTTACGACGGTTTCCGGGATGTCTGCGGACCCGGGCCAGTCCTGTGGTGGTTCAACCCCTTCCGTCGTCGTTCCGTGAAACCTGAGATCTACTACTACCAACACACTGTGTGAAGCATTGACTCTTTGTTAGGAACTAAGCTTCTCATCAGGCCCCAACAAAGAATGAATGCTAAACCCTCAAATCACAACAGAGGAAGTCACATTACTTCTTTTCATGATGCCCCTCCCAGTGACCCAGCTAGGGTCAAACTTAGGGGCTGTCCATTTTTTTCCCCTCATTTTTCACGAGCATTTTTCCCAGACCTACTACATCCTCCTAGGACATACAAACTGAAAAGGAAAAAGTGATTATTTCTATCATGTTTGGTATTTGGGAAAAATTTTCTCTGCTGTCTTAACCCTTCCCCAAAGAAATGGTTTGTGTGCTTGTGAAAGTGGTGAAAATGATGGAAGCAAAGTGGCTGACCCCAGTGGCACTTGGAGAGAGGTGTTTTTTATTGAAGGGGCAGTTTAATGGTGAGATTGTTCTTTTAAGATTTGATCATTTAGTCATGGAAGCCACAGACTTTGAATGAGGCCCACACCCTCATAATTATGCCCCTGACATAACCTCCCCCCTCCCCAATCCCTTCCCTCTGCTTTCATCCGGAGTACGGTCTCTCCAAGACCCTAAGCAGATATGGTGTGAGTGTGACCACTAGCCTAATGAAGTGTGGTGGACAGAATTGCAGGGCCCTTTGTTAAGTGGGTTAGTTTTGAGGCAACACCAACAGTTTTGCCCAAACCAAATAGCGCCCTCCTGTTGTATCTGCTGTACCTCAAATAGGCTGGCGGCTGGAGCCAGTGAAGTTGTGTGCAAATGAGTGGCTTCTAACTAAGATGGAGCTACTAACCAGGACACTCTTATCAACCATATTTGGCTTAAAAATCATTTCCAGCAGTACAGCCATAGTTGCTTTTAAATTTGAATTTATCATAATAAATTAACAGTATATCCTGCAGGTTGAACCAAACTGAAGAAATGTTTTGATGCATGTGTATCATCACCAGGTACAGCATTTGTCTGAGGGTATGCTTTTCAATTTTCATTAATTATGGACAGCATTGAATCTGTACCCTTCCAGAAATCCTTTCTACTGGCTTGAATGTGCCTCTGTTTCTGGACTGTCTGCAGCATTATAGATAATATTTTTTTATTTGCACATGTCAATGGAGGTTATGCGTTTACGCATGGTTTTGTTTCACTGGATATGCTCGAGTAAACCTTTTGTGAATTGGTTGGAACTAAATTAAAATAAAAACAGCCTCTGGTGGAGACGTCAACAACGCATAATCTATTTTTATACGTTGTCTATGAAATGATCTTTAGTTCAGATTCATCTCTTGTCAAGTTCAACCCGTCATGCTTTGCCGACAGTGAGATTTGTGATGGAGTCACCAGAGTATGATAGCATACACGTGTTGATAGCATACACGTGTTGATAGCATACATGCTTAAATAAAAGCAGTTTTTTTTCCATCAACCGTTAAGGATTGGAATGCGTTGCCTGCAAATATCATTTCTTGCACCTCACTGGAGACATGGGTTCGCTAAGCTCTGTCGAGAATGACATGACTGGACGATCCACGCAATGCGCAGGCTGGTGTGATGTTTCCTGACGGGGTATTGATTTGCCGGCTCAACTACACAGATACAGAAAATCTGCTTCCTTGTCTTCACATGAATTCCTTAACTGTGAGCCCCCGCCTCTCCGTTTATCACTCTGATGCACATGTTGAAATTGTACGCCATCAAGCAGTACATAATGAATATTGGGCAACCCTGGCTGTGTGTCACTTTCTGGGCGTAGAGTGTTGAGGGCCCGATCCGCCATCTGCTATCCGAGATCTCCAGTGGGGATGTTGAAATGTGCAATTATGTTGAATCAACAAGATCATAACTGGCACGGAAATCCGGGTGTGCCTGCGCGTGGGGGAAATCCCCGTGCAGAAGTCAAGCGCGTATCCAGATGGTGGCCAACCCTGGAAGATCGTGGGAAGTGTTTTTTTTTTCCATTTGAAGTTTGCATTGATACTGTTCGCCCGGGTTCATCGAGGTTTCACATTTGTTGGGGGTTTTCAAGTTGAGATAGCGGTTGCGCCGGTATTATGAAACCCAGAGTGTTGGTTTCATTCGATGAATGGAAGATTGTCAAACACTCGGCAATTTCACGAGACTGAATTCTTGCAGGCATTTTGATTTTGCATTTCCCCCCTCTTCTGAGTGCGTGGGCATAATTCCTGAGGGATGGGGTGTTCCCCCCCCCACACACACACACTTTTCTGGGGGGGTGGGCTATTGAATCATCGTCCACTTTTGTGTGGTGAGTAATAAAACTGAAGGCGGCTTCCGACTTCTCAACATCAACATTTATTCAACAGCACTCAAAAGGAGAACAATTTAGAACAAAAGCCACAAATATGCGTCGTTTTGATGCAGGGTGCCGCAGGGGTGTAATGCTCATTACGGATGGGCATCTGTATCACGAACATCGCCCTGTCACCCTGTGCCATAGAGTGGTAGCCCACCCCCAGTTCCCGGCAAACATTTACGCCCCTGACCATTTTTAGAAATAAAATTTGACAAGCATAGGTTTTCCCGTACATTTTTCGAACTTTTTTCATTCAAATTCATAACCGATTAATCCATTTCCTCTCGAAAAGACTGGAATGCGCAAATTCTACAATAGTCTGTTCTTTATTCATGAACAACTTGAAAAAATAAGGTCTATATACAGGCAAATGAAAATATATACGTTTTATTTCATGCATTAAAAAAGTAGGCTTACACTTAGGAAAAGCAAAATGTGTTCACGTTTCAAGGTCTTTCAGGAACAGCCTATGCCGTTCTTGTCCTTAGGACTGGTTGTTTAACCTTCAGTTTCTTGTCTCGCAATACTAGCTGAATACCGTTTGTGCATGGTTGCGGCGCGCACCATTTGATGAATTTGATCGAATAGACGAAGTGCTCCCAAAGGTGAGCTTGTTAGAAAACGGTGTTAGTGATCAGCGAGGAATTAACTGCAATATAACATTTACAATATCCAACCAAATTGGGCTGATTTACTACCGTCAGGCTAGCGACGACAACCACTGACTGGAGAGCGCTTTCTGCAGCGCAGGTGCTTACGATGATATTGCATTGTCGCTCACGATAAAGTATGGTACTGGTAAATGTTTATGGCGTCAAACAAAGTGTAAAAGTGAGTAACCAACGAAGAGATATAATCTGGAATATGAATGGTCATTGGTTTTCAAGACGAACTTGAAGTTACCATTTATGGATTTAGAACGAAAAAGGTTTAAAATGTACGAGGAAACTATTGGGCGTTCACACCCATACAGTGCCATACTTATTTTAATTCAGTGAGAATGGCACTAATATAAATCACTCGCAAACTTTGGGGAACTTTGTTCTCTTTTAATATTTTACGCGGTTTGGTTGGGGATGAATTGAAGTCCAAGAGTCACCTTGAATCCCAGGGAACAGCGGCAACCGCAGCCCAAGTTATTTTCAATCAATACACGCTTGAAGCGGTCACTGGAAACTATTTATGTAGGAAATCCAGGCACTACTGGTGTTTCTAATTTCAGAAATGTTGTTCCTACACATGTTGCTTTTCAATATTTCCGTGTTCCTGAACAATGGTGGTATCCGTGAAGAATGAGGATGTGTTTTGAGGAAGTGTTGTAGCGTACAGATGAATATGTTCCTTGAGGGCCTGTGTTATCAAATTATTAGGCACAAGAGTTAAGCCTTGAAGGAAGTCGTTTAGTTTTCTTCAACTTTTAAAATGGTATCTTTCTTTAAAGTTTGTGCAATCGCAACGGAAAGGGGATAATGCCGTAAAGGAAAGCCTTTGCTTCACCCGGCCGGACCTAGGTGTTTTCTTTTCTGTAATGAAAGGGATAAAGAAACGGATTACTCCTCCCTTCAATGGATTTCATCTAGCTTTAAAACAGCAATGTATCTCTCAGATATACTGGTGCGGTATTGCATGTTTAATTTCCTCGTTGCATTTTCTTCTTTTTCCCTTAATCAATTACAAGGTCACATTTGCTCGTTTCTCGCAAGTTCTGTGTTAAATATTGTAACCAGTGACAATAACAGGAAATCAGGAAACATTATTAAGTAACAATCTTTATCACTCAAAGTACTGCTAATAATTCGATGGAAATCTAAGGGGGAAATCAAAGTTTTCGCAACACACCAACGTTGTGTACCAAAGTTGATGGATTTATTCAGTCTTGATTTATTTTCATTTGATAACCTTATTCACACTATTTCAGTATAGAAGAGAGTCAATTTGAGAAAGTTCTCCTGAAAAATGAGAAGAAAACTGAGCAATTGGGTGCGATGGTCCGTTGAAGGTACGCCAGTTGGAGCTCTGACCAGTCGTGAAAAACAGCACAAAAATTGCCGTGACGTACATGTACATGTACTGCACATGTACATGTACATGTACACGCGGTACGTGCATAGGAGTTTGTCTTTGAGCGTACCAATCGCTGCGCAGTGAGTATAGTCAAGAAAGCAAGATCTGTTTGCAACTCGAGCAACATGCTCGTCCTGCTTTTGAACATGCTCCCCCGGTTGAACTCAGGTCGTATTGTATTATAACAGTCATTATCTATTGGACATTCGAGAAGCGGCCTTCAACATGAGTTTAGATAACGTTCTGTAAAGAAGGATAAGTGTTCAAAATTTACCATATTTTGAATTCCCTCCGAGCAAGTTAGATGCAGGTTACAACGTAAAACTTAAAGGGCCACTCAATGTTAGTTAATGCATTTGTGCGTTTTATATTGGCATATTTTGTCAAGTTCAACCGTGAGTGTACCTCAGCTTTCCGTCTTTTTATCGATTGTTTAAAATAAAGCGAAGAATTATGGATGAGGATGTTATGCTGGTATTTTGGTATCTTTACGAAACATTGAATGACAGGCTTTCTAAATACATGTAAATAGTGTCTCAGGGGCGGATCCAGGAATGTTTCCACGGCGGCGTCGGGTCGAAGATTTTTTTTTGCATGTCTCATTTTTGAGGGCAAGCGGAAACGATGATGAAACATTCTAATTGTGGCCAACGTATCTGTCACATTGCACAGTTCGTTGCGCGTCTTTTAACGTGGTGCTTTTTATCAGTTTTCCCTATCATTAATGACGTCATTAATAGATTATGATCAAACTGGACAAAAACTGAACCTCACGTAGGCCTGTATTCATTCCTATGCCCTTGTGCGCCATTATGTTGAGAGCTCGCGCATGCGCACTCGATCACTTTACTGTGGATTTCGAGGCAGGCGACGCCGGACATCGTTCCGACACTTCTTTCCTCGGATGGAGACCATTATATATTTTTAACATAATACAAACAATTGAAATTCACAGAGATAACCAGATGACTAAAAATTGACCGGACAACATTAAACCACTGTGTTATAATGAACCCAGTTGCACAAAATTTGAAACAAATTCTGAAAAAGTGATTTTGTTGGAAAATAATCGCGATCAGATTTGAAAGAAAATACGTCCACGGCCTTTCCCATTTTAAAACAACTTCTCTAGTTTATCCAAACAAACGAAATAAAGTGCCGTGTGTATTAAGACCCAATAAAAAATTGGTGGTATTTTCAAGTAATTGCGAATTGAATATTTTGCGCGAAAATCATTTGTCCGTAGTAGTCCATGTGTACGCTTACGTGAGTCGATGAAGCACTGTATGTACAATGTACATGTATGTAGGCCTACGTGTGAATGTGCACATGGGCACACATTAATCATAGCAACCGGTCCACACAGAGAGCCGAAATTTAAATTGATCAAACTAACAAAGGACAATTCGCAGTAGCATAAACATAACATGGTAACCTTTTTCAGTTATTAAGATTTGCAGCATGTGTGGAAAAACTGGAGAACAATTCAAATTTTCGAGTTTAAAATACCGTTTTTACATTCGGAAGTGTGAGGTACACAGACATTTTTCACCCCATTTCCCCCCAAATGTCACTTATGATTAACAAGAAACACGTCACAAAATGAAATCTGAAGTCTGAATGTATTTCTCTGGTATAAATTCAGCAGAAGATCTCCGCAGGATTTTGGTATAGTTGTTAGCTGGCTGGCGTCGCCATTTTAACAAGCAACAGAAACTGACCGCAACTTTAGCGAATTTTAGCGCATGCGCACAAACTACGTGGGTAAACATACTTATATCACATGTATGATAAATTCCAAACATCCCTGTTGTTTAATGAACACGTTAAAAGTTACAAATAAATTTGATT